GGGAAACACGGTACTTAGGCAAGATGACTGCCGAGCCACTCCCACTTGGTCACATGGCCGGCAAGCCACTCCCACAAAGCAGGCCACACCTACAGAAGAGGTTCTAAAAAAATCTGAAACCCACCACTGAATTGAAAGATCAAGATTTAAATGGCCCCGTAAAAGGCTCTAAAATATGAACTAGTATACACCCAGTTACAACAAAACTGTGCTTTCTTCCATTGTTTTCATAGCGCTAATACTCAAGTCAGTGCCTTAAAAAAAATCAATGTACTATTCTTCTGAAATTGAGCTGCATTTATTGGCTACATGGTTTTCTGCCCTGAGATTGTATTTTTACCTTAATCCAAAATGGCTTTTCAATCTTTCTGGCTTTTGAGATTATTTTCTGCTCTTGATTCAACAGTTTTTTTGAGTTATATTGTTTCAAGTTTGCTCTCTCACTATCATATATTCAATGTATGGTTAATTCTGAACATTAAAAAAAAATTATACATTATTCCAATCTAGGTGTAGCAATTCCCTAAATTTCCTATAGCTTTCTGATTCACATGAAAACACACTCTATACAATGAGTTTACAGTAGATACTATGGAGAGCCTTGCTAAAATTTATTTCCATGAACATTTTGCTATAGTATCTTATCATTACATCTGTTTGTCACTAAGATCTAAAATTCCTAAACAGAGTTACCATAACAGAAATTATTCGTTGGCCCTGTTCGTGGAACACACTTAGTCTGGTTTGTGTAGTGGTTAATGAGTTGTGCGATCACTAAAAAGAGGTTAATTGATTTCAGTCAACAAACTCCCGGAGGATTAAATTTAACATTACACAGTTCTACTCATGAATATGGTTAAACAAATTCTACACAGTAAGCCATGTAGTAGGAACACCAGAACCTTTTTAATTGACTGTTTTGTTTACCAAATTATTGAGGAGAAGAAGAAAAAAGCTATAACAAACAAGTGCAGAGAAAACTAAATCTCTATCATAAAATGAATTGCCAAGCAGCACCAATAAAAATCCCAAAAACATTTCCAAAACATTAAAAGTGGCTCTACCAATTGGCTCCCTACTTAGCCAACGGAGAAAGATTTACTGATGTTGTGAAGTCTTACTACTACTCTTCTATACAAGGTCTGATACGATACTAGAGACGTTTGGGCAAGGACTCTGAATTCCAAAATGGAATTTAAGCTAGTTTCTGTGCTGCCAGAACTGGTGGGAAAGAGCTATGACAGAATTAGAGACTGCCTGGGTGAACCTTGTTGTGGGAATGGAACCAGTGAGGATTCTGTTTTCAGGGAAAATAGTGAGGATTGAAGATAGTTCTGCTGCAGAAGAACGAGGAGCCGTAAGTGAATTGGCTCTTCAGAATTCCTCTTTGGATCAAGAAAGTGGGGGATCACTGACAAGTACCCATATAGGGGCTCCCCATGAGGAGACTATCAGTCAGCAAGTGGTCTGGAGCTAGGGGAATGTCATCTTGCCTAAGTACCGTGTTTCCCCGAAAATAAGACAGGGTCTTATTTTCTTTTGACCCCTGAAATAAATACTTGGCCTCATTTTCAGGGAGGTCTTATTATTTTTGAGGTGCGGGAGGCGGGGAGCGTGGTCACCTCATGGCTGGTTCTGTGATGCAATATTTTCGGGGAGGGCTTATTTTCGGGGAAGGGCTTATTATAGCGCATGTGTGCAAAAGCCCGATTGGGCTTATTATCCAGGGAGGTCTTATTTTTGGGGAAACAGGGTAACTATTCAATGTCTTCAAATGGACACTGGTTCACATACTACTTCTTTTCTTAACCACTATTTTTCTAATTTTTAAATAGTAAAAGGACTACTACAACATTGATTTTGGAAAGTTATAAGAGAAATAAGGGGCCAGATCAGCTAGTTCGCACCTATTCGGGAGAACCGGTTGTTAACTTTCTAAGCAGTGCAGAGAACTGGTATTGATGGAAGAAATCTCCTTTTGTTTTTTTCCACTTTACAGGGCTAATCCTTTAAGGAAGACATTCTGGTGTTGTTTCTAGCCTAATTTTCTTTGCTTTGCTTGCAGAAACAGCCTCTCGGGTTAACCCTTATTACATTGTAACAGTTAAGGCGAAGCACCCATCGATGTGAGTGACATTGAGTTGGCCACACCTACCCACCCAGTCACATGACCACCAAGCCCTATTTATCCAGCTGGTCATTAAGGCAGAGAACCGGTTGTTAAATTATTTGAATCCCACCACTGGGCCAGATGGATCTAAAAGAATATTTCCTGAAAGAATAGGCTCTTTTAACATTTTCCCAAAAATATATATATGAAGATTAAGAAACTAAGAAATTCTTCAGTGAGAAAGTGCTGTTCATTAGGGGGAAAACCACCACATGATAAGAGGGGAGTTTGCAAGTTGACTAAGAGGGAATCAGAGATAATTTAAGACTACAATTAAAGGAAAGGAGAACCATTAATATAATGGAGCAATAGTATGTGGCTGTGGAAGTATTCATGGATATTTGGGAACAATGCACTCAAAAATTACTCGTAAGATGGTCTGCTATTATAAAAATGGATTTAAAAGATGTACATAAGACGAACACAGTCAGTTTCATGTAATGGTTAAGGTGCTGGCCTTGAAATCAGGAGGCTATGAGCTCAAGTCCAGCCTTAAGAATGAAAGCCAAGATGGTGACCCCAATTGGGCTGGTTATTCTTTTTGTTGAGAAAAAAGGAGAAGGAAGGAGTATTATGTATGTATGCTGCCTTCAGTTATTTATTAAAAAATAAATGTAGGATAAAAACCTAATAAATAAATAAAAATAATGACATATTTTACTAGATTGAGATTAAATCTGATTTGAATATAGAACTGGCACTGGATTTAAGAATGCCAGACTACACAAGTGATATCAAAAAAGGTGCCACACTGGATTTACAAATTAAATCAGTTGATGTCTTAATAATAAAATGCAACGTACAAGTAATACATTAGAAAAGTGATATGGACAGCTTTCTTATCTGTTTTTTCAAAAGAGATTTGTTAAACCTGTGAAGGAGTTTCTAAGACGAGACAAAGAGAAGATGATGAGAACTCAATTTGTGATATATTACTTGAAAGGATTAAAGATCAGGGTTTTTAAAATAAATAAAAGAAATACAATGTGGATTTATTTGATCAAGGTTACTAGGTTTAAATATAGATATTTTACAGAGGTGGGTTGCTAATTCTTTTATTACCAGTTCGGGAGCATGCGCGACCCTTCTGCGGGTCGGTGGAGGCCCCTACCGCCACTACTACTGGTTTGGCTGATCCGGGCCAATCCAGCAGCACTTCTGATATATTAGTGCTGGTCCATGATTGTAATAAAGATTGATAGAGATGATATACTTATATATAGAGAGAGAAATAGAGAGAGAGATGTTATATAGTTTCTAGTAGCTCTTAATCGATTTATTTCTAATAGGACCGAATGACTTTAAAGACTTTAAAATGGCTTTAAAGATCTGTTTATACATAACAGATATAGGATATGGGAAGAGATTTCTTTGCTATATTTTTAGAAAAAATGATCAGTTACTGTGTTTAAAGTAAAAAAATATATAGCATGGATTTATTTGATTGCGTTTAAAATATACGTTAATAGGTTAAGATGGAAATTTGTGATTAGGACTGTTCAGATTTTATAATTTGTTTATTGATTTGTTTATTTATTTATCTAGAGGGAGGAAGTGTAATTTCTTTTTTATCTTTTTCTGTTTTTTTCATTTTCTCTGCCCTTTTGTTATATTCTTAGCATTTGTATTAGTTTTTTATCTTTGCATTTGTAAACCTTAATAAAAATATTATTTCAGAAAAGGAAATGGAACTGGAGAAACACGGTGGCTGCATGTGATTCAGGATGGACAAAGGAAGGTTTTGTAATTGCAGAATTGCAATTTAAGTGATTGACTTTGCTATACTACACTCCATGAGAATATCACAAAGAATTTTCAGGAAATTAATTCATGCCACTGTGAAAATTGTCCATTTCTATTTCTTGTAAAACCTGTTTATACACCTTGGATTCAAAATTACCTGATATCAATAGCAGAGACTAACTAACTCAGTTTGTTGCCCACAGTAAAAACGATAGGGTACAAAAGGATACAAAATTCGAATACTGTTTCATGTAGCCTTCTCCCAAACAGCACCTTCCAAATCTGTTCCAATTACTTACACCTTAAGGATAATGAGAGGGAATGTTTTGGTATAATCAAACAGGGCAGTGCTGAGGATTATGTTATCTTTAATTCATTAAAATGCAAGATAAATCTAGAGAAAAATGGCCAGAAAAGCATGATACGGCTTGAAATGAATAAATGAATACTGTGCATACACAATTCCATTTTTCTCTTTCTCCAGTCAAAGGAAAATTAAATTTGCTCAGAGAAAAATATTTGAAGTTTTCTATTCTTGTGTTTTCTCCAACTTTTTGTTAATGTATTGCATATGTCATAGTTTCTTGTAAGCAACTCTGCTCTTTAGCTTGGGGAAATGGTTCCACCACAAAACCGTGTTCGACTAAACCACGCTCGATGAAACCGCATAGCTGACATCATCAACAGCGCGGAGACAGAAGCATGCTGTAAACCCTAAACCTAAAATTAACCCCTAAACCTAAACCTANAGTCGCCAGTCGACATTGGCCGGCGGATGGAATTCGGAGGAGGCCTAATCTGTGGGATCTGATCGGTCTAGTGGAGGTAATTCATTTTTTCCCTTCCTCTTCCCCTTTTCCACAATAAATAAAGTGATTTTGATTAAAGTATCTGGTGACAAGAGCGTTACATTAATGAGTAGCTAATAACTACTACTACAAAGCTAAGATATGAAATAAATAGTGTTGGATTTTTTCCCCCTCTTTTGCAGTAAGTACCTTTTTTGGCTAACAACCACTAGAGAAGGCAACTTTGGCATTTGCAGGACCAATTTCTCCTCATATTGTAATTGATTGCCAGAATTTGTAAGAAACAGGTCTAGCCTGAGGAATCAGTTACTCTTGGATAATTTTAGGAAGTGAAGCTTACATTAAGGAACCCATCCTCTGGCAGACACATTGAGGTATTGGTAGTGCAACAGGGGACATTCAGATAAGAAGTCTATCCTTGTTAAGATATTTATATTTACTAGCTGGAGCACTGTCCACTGAGCCAAAACACACGGTTGTGGTTGATTGGTTGAAGAGTGCTGACTCTGTGCTGTGATTGGTTGCTGTGGGTGTGAAGGGGGAGTTTTCCTTTCCTTCCCCCCTCCCACCATCCTTTGCCCTGTGATTTACCTGATGATTTACCTCATGGCGCTCCTGTTTGCCTGACTATCTTGTCTGATGTATATATAGATGCAAAATATATTTATTTATATAAAATTAGAAGTGTGTGTCAGCGTTTCTGACTTCATTTGGATATCAGCTGCACAATTCCCCGACAAAAGCTTGGTGGATGGGTTTGAAAACCAGTCATCCAGCCTACCTCACAGGGTTCACCGACAAATGCGCGCACGAGAAAAGCGCGCTGACAAAACCACGGCGAGAAAACCGCAATGTTGAAATCATGCCAACAGCGCGCCGACAACAGCGCTCCATCAACAAACGGTTCCACCACAAAACCGCGTTCGACTAAAGCACGCTCGATGAAACCGCATAGCTGACATCATCACAGGGCGACAACAGCGCGGAGACAGAAGCACGCTGTAAACGCTAAACCTAAAATTAATCCCTAAACCTAAACCTANTGCAATGCAATGCAATGCAATGCAATGCAATGCAATGCAATGCAATACAATACAATACAATACAATACAATACAATACAATACAATACAATACAAATGTTTTTATTATTTGAAAAATTAAAGTAAATTAAAATAAAAGACAAGTTCAGAGAAACAACACCTCATTCATGTCTGATTCCTCAACAGGACTCCTAAGTTGTAAGCCGCCCTGAGTCCCCTCAGGGAAAAGGGCGGCCTATAAATAAACTTATCTACATCTACATCTACATCTAACTCATTTATCAGAAATTGACTTCCCATCCTGTCATAACCCTCCCCCCCACAAAATATAGTGAGGAGTTTTAAAAACAAACATAGAGCATGGATAAATAAAAGGAAATACAAGAGGTTGAGGGTGAGGAGTAGAAAAGAGACAGAAAGATAGAAAATAATGTAACAAATCAGTAGCAGAAGTCTGCATAAATAGATTGCAGTAGTCAGTCGTGATTCATTACACACAATAAAAAACTTACATTGTTTGATCGTAGGGAAACACGGCCTCCGCATCTGGCACAAAACTTTGTCCGGCAGTATGAGCATAAATGGCCGCAACCATCAGCAAACTTAGTTTTGTGACAGATCCCACACGTGGGTGCATCATCTTTGTGTTCTCCTTGATGACGACGGGATTCCTCACCTATTTTTCGTACTTGCTCTTTGTAACTTTCAAATTGTTGGTGTAATCTTCTGTAAAGAAAGCAAAACTCTTATTGCAAAGGCATCAAGGCAAACTCACTCATTAAATAATTTGCTCTGGGACAGCTGCGTGTGCCAAACGTAACTATTATTCAAGTGCCAAATTGATCTTAAAAATAAATGTAATATCTATAAATGGAATTTATGGAACTATCTGCTTCACTTTTATATTCTGTTAAGGAAGCTATTTAAGCAATCAAAAACGCAATGCACATTTATGGGTTTGAGAGTAGCACGAAGAGGTTTTGTTAAAATATCTTAATATTAACTCCTATTTTTCTGCCATAGATATAATCTCAGAGTTATAAGCAAATTTCAGAACAAAAAGAGTAGCAAGGAAAGTATTCAAAATGGAAGAAACTTTTCTTGACTTGGTACATTCACTAAAACATTTCAAATTGTTTCCTTCACTGTGGAATGAGAGAATCAGAATTATCCCTTTACCATCATTTTGCTCATGGCATTTTCATTATGAAAGATGTTGTGCAACCAATAATAAATAACCTTAAGCATAAAATGTAGATAATAAGATTTGGCTTAATTCCTTAATGTTTATTCTCATTACTGTATGTATTTTCCTTAAAGACTAGTGCATCTGAGATATCGTTCTACTAGCCTCTATTGCAAAAGCTGAAAGACAATCATCTTGAAGCCGTATTTAAAGAGTGCAGGAGATTCAATTCCTTATGTAACTTATGAGCCAAATAATATAATACATTGCAGCAGAAATCCAGAAAGGAAAAGATTCAATTTGATTTTCAATAGCAGAGTGTTACGTACAGACGTACATTGTTAAATTTACATGTTTTTACATGCTCACCAGGGATTGGTTGCCTAACCCCCGGGAAGTTTAAACTACTGTCATTCGCCGGCTGGTCTGCCGGAGATCCTTAAAAGGGAACATCCAGCAGCCCAGCCAGCAGAGCACAGTCACTTACTCTTGCAATAAAAAGTGCTGAAACTCACTTGCGCCTCACGCCTGCTGCTTCTCACCAATCTAACACTGGCGACAAAGGACAAAGGGACCCTCGTTGGACAAGCAGCCATTTCGCACAAGAACCAAGACCCTGCACTACAGCACGAGATGGCATCACAAGCATCCTCTCCACCAGCGATCTTCAACCTGCAGACGGAGGACTGGCACACATACATGGGCCGATTCCGGATGTTCCTGGAAGCCAACGACTACCAGGACCGGCTGGACAATAGGAAGCAGGCATTATTCCTAACTTACTGCGGAATGAAAATCTATAAGATGGCACAGACGTTGATTGCCCCAGCAGATGTAGAGACTGTTGCATGGACAACTCTACAACACGCCCTTGAAGACCACTACACGCCATCCGCTGCCCCCATGGTGACCCGGAATGGGTTTTACCACCGTCGCCAACGGGAAGAAGAGACGGTGAATGATTTCATGGCCAGCCTCTGAGAAATCGTGATCCGGTGCGAATTCATCAACCCAGAAGAAATGATGAAGGACTGGGTCATCCTAGGAATGAGAAACCTCTCCTTGCAAAAGAAACTGCTAATCAGAAAGGGAGTCTCATTCAAGGATGTGGTCAAGGAAGCTCGGGCAGCTGAGTCATCAGATAACTCGGCAGTGCACGTAAGGAAAACCAGTTGGGTACACCAAACATTCAGGGAACCCGACTGGGCATCTGACGTTCCGGAGTATGATGATGAAGACGATGATGTTGACGCCATCCACCGTGTGTACCCAGAGAGGAGACGAAGCGCAAGGGACATAAAGGGCAGGCAGCCACGTTGCCCAGGCTGTATGGGATTCCATTCAAGAATAGCGTGCCATTTCCGGGATGTCATTTGCCGCAGATGCCAGCGGAAAGGCCGCATTGCCAAGGCGTGCAGAGCATCCCAGCCCATCCCTTCCCATCCAAGATGCACAGCTGCTCAGGGGAGACAAAGCAACCCACGACCTGGCCAGCAGCAAAATAGGCGGAGAGAGGAACAGTACCAAGCCCAGAGGGAGATCCATCACACCACTGTGGACCACTCAGAAGCCTATGAAGGAGAAAAGTTCCATGCAATGGTGACCATTGAAGGGGGACCATGCAAAATGAAGCTGGACACAGGATCATATTTTACAATCGTGTCCTGGCAGACCATTAAGAAATTGAACCTCACAGCCGGCAAGAAGCTCCTCAAACCACCAAATGTCCAGCTCAACAACTATCAGGGGAACTAGATCCAAATCCTAGGAAGAATGGAGATCAAGGTGGTGTTTATGATGTTTATTTATATTCATTTATGATGGTTCTATTCCCTGCCTGAAAATCTAGAGTAAGAAAATATCAAAAATCCTACAACCACAGAACTTTACTACTGGTGGCAGATGTCCAGTTCCATTTTAGCATGAGGATTAAATCTAAGCATGATTTTTGTGGGTGAAAGTACACAGGTGCTGACTTGCAGTTTCTTTTCAACCTTTTTTCTTTGTCCTTTCAGTTCAATTTTTTTATTTAAAAAAACCATAATTGTTCTGTTCACATTTACATGATAATGGTCATAAGAAACTCTTTCAAGGCATAAATCAGCGATTTATGGAATGGAGACAATTCTGTTAACATTATGTAGGATAGCAAAGAAGTAAGGCATATGTCTAATATATTCATTACCTTCTATTCCATCACATGCCCAGCAGATGGCTCCAGAGACTACCATTTCTTCTATTCTCCGCGATTTCAAAACTGTCCCTTTGCTTTTGAGATATTGTAATAATGTTATGATGTAAAACCCTTCTTATACCAGAAATAAACTATTGGCTGTGCATATAGGAACCAATTAAGGTGTTTTAAAACCCACACTAACTTCAAGTGGTCAGTATGGTTCTCAGTGCTTTGAAAGTGACAGAGGTGGGTTCCTACCAGTTCGCACCTATTTGGTAGAACCGGTTCGTCAAATCTACCAAACCNAATAGGTGCGAACTGGTAGGAACCCACCTCTGGGCCACCTATATATTATTTGAATGAATGCCACTTAATCCATCCTCACACCTGCTTGAAGTGGGAATCCTGTTCCCTATAGTCTTTAGTGTCCAGTAGAATTGACACAAGGAAAACAGGTTGAGTGGTTTAAAAAAAGGAAATCCCAAGGTGCCAAATTCCTCAAAATAGCCAACAGATTTTATAAAAATATGACCCAATAAAATATGCTTCACATGAAAATCTGAGAAGCTTATTGCTCTCGTTTAGATCTTGAAATGATAGGATAATAAAAATAATGGGAAAGCTAAAAACCTTGTTTTCTGTTTTTTAGACATTAAATCAACCACAGTGGCTAGAAATTTTGTACTGTTATTGTTGCAATTTGTCTTAGAATGATATAATAATTGCATGGCTTCATTTTATGTTCTTGAAATATATTGTGTAGAACGGGGGCGTCAAACTGGCAGCCCATGGGACGGATGCATCAAACACAGGCCACGCCTACCACAGTCCCGCCAAGAGGGGAAAGGTCACAAAATATCATGTGACGACAACATGACACAGTGAGCTTGACATTTGTGGTGTAGAATGTCTTTATGTATTATTTATGTATTATTTATGTATTATTCAACTTTTATCATTTTATCTAGGGTTAAGTCATTATTATTTTAATTTTTTCAAAAGCTACTCTCAGCATTTTAGCAACCTAGAAATATCTTAAACAATTAAGTAATTCTGCAATTTTATTTCATTTAAGCATTATAGATCCTCTTTTGCATTATAGTATTTTACTTTCCTTTGTTCTCTGAAATTTGTTTAAAATGTTTTATTTTTTTCCTGAACTCTATATATTTGGTCATAGAACCATACTCAAACGTGGTCAATGGCCACAATAAAGACTGACAATAACCCTAATTACCCCCAAATACCTTGTGAGAATTTTAAACTCTCACAAGTTATACAAAATAGCAAAAACTAATAAGCTGTCCAACAATAATATAATTTTATATAGGCGTTGTTGTTGTTAGCCGCGATGTCGTGTCTGACCCATCACGACCACATTCATCCAGGTCTTCCTATCCTCTACCATCCCCTGGAGTCTACTTAAGCGCACGCCGACTGCTTCAGTGACGCCATCTAGCCACCTCATTCTCTGTCGTCCCATTCTTCTTTTGTCCCCAATCATTCCTAGCATTAGGCTCTTCTCCAGTGAGTCCCTCCTTCTCATTAGGTGGCTAAAGTATTTGAGTTTCATCTTCAGGATCTGGCCTTCTAAAGAACAGTCAGGATTGATCTTCTCTAGTACTGACCGGTTTGATCGCCTTGCAGTCCAAAGGACTTGCAGGAGTCTTCTCCAGAACCATAGTTCAAAAGCCTCAATTCTTTGGTGCTCAGCCTTCCTTATGGTTCAACTTTCACAGCATACACTGCGACATAGCCTTGACTATACACACTTTTGTTGGCAGGGTGATGTCTCTGCTNATACTTCTTGTCGCGTCCTTCCCTTCGCTCCAAGATGTAAAACTCAGCATAAGCTCACTCTGGTATTGAGGTTTCCCAGCCTCAGAAAATGAATGCAGAATGGGGCATTTTTACACTCAATGAAACTACTATCAAACTGGACAAAGAAAAGGAAGCATGCTATTCAAAAAAATACACTGCTGTTCTTTTCACAAACAGAAGTTGCTTGAATAAATATTTCAACCCATGCACAAATTAAGGAGCTTATATTCGATCCAGTGGTTGAAATTCATCATGCAATGCAAGTACAACAAGCCATGCAATCATCGGAAGCTTTCCCCACTTTTTAAAGCATTTTTTTCCTGCCTATTCGCTCGAACCAGCAGGATAAATATGCTTTAAAAAGCAGGGGGGAAAGCTTTGCATATCAGCTGTGAGCCACACATCATCGCAAGCTTTTTTTCCACTTCTTAAAAGATTTTATACTACGGGTTTGGGCAAATAGGTAGGAAAAATGCTTTAAAAATTTAAAAAAAGTTGGCCATGCCCACCCAGTCACATGACCACCGCCACCCTACCAAACCA